CAATTTTGTGATGGTACTGTACTGGTATGAGCATTTATAATCCGCCTCTTCCTTGAGGTTAGAAAGCACACTTCTTTATCCTGGTCACTGACTCCACATGCTACATGTAGTGTTGCTACTGGTAATCAGCGCAGGTGCATGCAACCCCACCAGGTACCCATTTATACTCCTGGGTGGAGAGAAGCAATGTAGATAAAGTGCCTTGCTCAAGGACACAAGCAAAGTGCACAGTGAGGGATTAAAACCCCAAGCTTGAGGTTCGGAAACCCTCCAAACCTCAAGTATCTGCACGTGAGGGTGTGAGCCAAAATCTTAATTCCATGTGTAATTTGTTTAGTTAGTTCAAACTGGTCGTCGCACTCTACTCGTAGAAGTTTGTGACGAAGAGTTGGCTACTGTACTTGCAGATGTCTCTGTGCACATCCTTATGAAATGTATGCAGGGGTCCCAAGTATCCAACCAGTTGCAGGAGTCTCCCGGAAATCGGTAAAGACCTGTCACGCTCCTGTAAGCAAGCAACAGCATCCCAGAAAATAACCCATTTTCAGCAAATTTATATTTTATTTTCATATTTTTGCTAATACCCCTTCTTGATACACCCATATTAAGGGGGCACCCCTATTAATGGGACACTTTTTTGGCTACAAAACAAGGGAAAATGTAAATATATTAAATGTATTAATAGGACACCGTTTTCAATCCCGAGTGTGTCCCCTTAATAGGAGTTATTTTACTGTAGGCCACGGTATCAATTTGTCAGGTGGAGATGGGCATCACCAAGCACAGCAAATTAATTTAGATGGTTAGAAAGCTTATTTAATCAGTCTCCCTTAAATTAACTTCTTCCAAATTGGGATCCTTGTGTATATGACTTACATTGTGATTTGCTCATAATATGGTATGATAAAATACATATCATACCATGCTACTTCTATCAAATATAGATTGTCTCATTGAAAAACAAAACAGGATTTATCCAGTCTACTCTGGAGAACATCAGGTCATTGTAGAAATGTAAATGTGTTGGTGTTACTGCCTTTGTACCATGATGGATGAAGAGATGAGAACTTACCAGTTCGAAGTTTGATCTTTGATTTTTAGTGAAGTAATGGAGTGAAAGATCACATTTTTTCAAACAAATTATGAAATAAAATATCTAATAAATAGTAATCATCTTACAAGTAATACAATGGAATACTTCAAAATTGATGCCATAAAAATATCTATAATGATATGAGTTTACATTTGTATTTAATGTGATTGATACATATTTAAAATTAAGATTTCACATTCATTTAGTTATTGGATCATTGGCTTTAACTTATTTATAATAAATTTCATTTCATATGTTTCTCTTAATTTTTCAATTTATAATGGACTTGGGATCAAAACCCTTTGGGAAACCAGTTAAAGGCTCTTGAGTTTGTTTTAAATCTGGACCTATTTCAGCATTTTCATTGTTAATATATTCATTGTTATATTGTTAATATTTTTAAAATAGCATTGACCAGCAGTGGCACCAGAAATATTCCTACAAGGGGTCCAACATGTCCAACGGAGGGGGCCGAGCCAAGGGGTCGACGTCCCGAAATAAAAACTCACTTTCTAGGGTTCACATGGAGAGTTTTCATGGTTTAGTATGGTACAAAATGTGCTTTTAGACAACAATATTAGGAATTGGAAATTACAATAATGTTACTTGGATAGGCAAATTATTTTTTTAAATGCTCTCCTGCCCTTTCCCTGGTGCTACCAGTGCTATTGACTAACTATAAACTACTGTTGGTAGAAATCAAACTATTTAGAATTGAACGAGAATATTTAATCAGTATTTAATTGTCTGGAGGCTAGATCAACTGTGACTCTATAATCTACAATAGGTGTGTTATTATCAGCACTTTGCCTTCCAAATAAACAATTTAGGTGTACACAGCTGAAACCCTTGAACCATTATTGACACAAGAGATCACTTATAGCTATCGTCATTCATTTTTGCCAAAAATATGAAGACCCTTAAAAAATAGTGTAAGTTGAAATTCTGAAATTATAGCTTTTCCTCCTTTTGCCAAAACAAAAAGAATAATTATGTTACCTGTATTACTTTTGGAAATCACTAAATTGGTCAGCATTGTTTTTAACACTTTAGGCCTATGGATAATTTAGAGACATTAGTCCATTGGTAATCATCACTTGGTTAATATTAATTAATAATAATAATAATAAATAAAATTTATAGAGCACACATTATATTATATTTTTGCTATTAAATACATTTTGCAGACCTAAGGTTCTGAGATATTGGGTCACTTAGGCTGAATTGGCAACAAAACTTCTTTTTGGCATAATGTTTCATTGGAAATTTTTGAAATGTCGGGGTAATAATACTGTAATGTGAGGCATAGAGTGACCTTGGCAATATGCACTACATAAAGACAAGCATTAATTATTTACAGAGTATTATTTTTCCAACAATAATAAGCATATACCTAAACTGAATGATACATACAAACTTATCTAGTTTGCTTTTAGAATTATGTACTGTAGTGGATTTTTGGCAGTTAAAAATTATTTTTGATGATGTAATTTATTGTTTTTAAATTCATTGAACCGGAAAATTTATAAGTAAACCCCTGCTTTAATTTAAATTTTATGCTAGTTATGTATTATTAAACTTTAACAATCATCCAGATATTCTTCCTGATTTTTAATCTGATTTTACAGTTTATTAAAACAATTGTTTGGCCTAAATGGAAACATTAAGTAATGTAAAATCATAAATTATTACAGTGGCTCCACCCTTAATGATTATAATAATAGAGTAGACTCTAATGTAGATTTGTATAGCGCCGTTATATCCATCTGTCCAAATGCTTACTGTATTGTTCTTGATGTGTGGACTAGTAGCTTGTTCAGTGACTTTCAATCAATCAGGGCCCCTTATGCTCATGGTGCTTGATGTGTGGACTAGGAGCTTGTCCAGTGACTTTCAATCAATCAGGACCCCTTATGCTCATGATTCTTGATGTGTGGACTAGTAGCTTGTCCAGTGACTTTCAATCAATCAGGGCCCCTTATGCTCATGGTGCTTGATGTGTGGACTAGGAGCTTGTTCAGTGACTTTCAATCAATCAGGGCCCCTTATGCTCATGGTTCTTGATGTGTGGACTAGTAGCTTGTCCAGTGACTTTCAATCAATCAGGGCCCCTTATGCTCATGGTGCTTGATGTGTGGACTAGGAGCTTGTCCAGTGACTTTCAATCAATCAGGGCCCCTTATGCTCATGGTGCTTGATGTGTGGACTAGTAGCTTGTTCAGTGACTTTCATTCAATAAGGGTCCCTTTGTATCTGTGCTACCCGGTAAACCTGTACCACCAGCAACTCTCATAGTCAGGTACTATTTGTACCAGTACACCAGGGGCATCGTCCTACTTATCTTGTAATGGTGTACTGGACAACGGAGTGGTGAAAAGGGTTTCTCTGCGTTTCTTCTCACTTTTGGTTACTGTTATGGTATTTTATGGTGTCATTCTGTTTTTCAAGTTATTTTATGAGTAAAGCGCTTTAGAAGCATTGTTTTGCATTAAGCGCTCTATAAGACTCACAATATTATTATTATTGTTATTATTACTGGGTTCTTTACAATCTAGTACGAGCTACAGTAATTGTGTACATTGGGCCTATGATTTATCCTTATCTGCGAAGATTTGTTAACCATAGACTAGCCTGCTATATGAACCAGCTTCAACCCCTGCCTTAACCGCTCAGCCAATCGACTTGATCCTGCTTCCTGACCCATACCCATTGTAAACAGCTCCCTGGTCCAATATAATATTTTTTAGAGTCTATTATTATGATGTCTGTTAATCCCTCTTAAAAGTTTTTGCAGAAATACAATGGCTTGTGGACACACTAGTTAGTGATCAGTTTAGGTCATTTGAAAATTTAATCTGAAGTAATAATCCAGATGCCTAACGAGATACAAGATTGATTTATTTGTTGTTATTGTACTGTACACCTCTACTCCATTAGATTAAAGGTCTAGCAAGTGGTCAGTTGAGGTCACTCTGATGCTCTCAATTAAAAACTAATTATAAAGTCAATGTACTGTAGGGTCAAGTTTAATGAAAATTGTAAATGTCCCCTTAGTTTAGGCATAATTTGAACAACTTATATAACCTATCCAATGAAAGACATGGTTATTATAGTAAGTCCGGTCAGCCTAAAATACCATACTCTAACAAGATGATACGACTTCTTTAAACGAATACTGTATTATGTTAATGGAATTTGGCACACATGGTCATGTCATGGGATTGCACTTGCAATTATCAGAATACACTCTTACTATTCTAAGTCTATATATTTCATCATGTGACTTTCCTCACATGGGATCATGTGACCATACAAAGGTCATAGGTCAATATATACATTATGAGTCATATTCTGGTATGGTTCTTGATTATGTTGTCCACTTAATTGGATCGTCTTGTTTTCATCATAGCTTGGTAGTTTGTTTAAGTTGAAACCAAATTAAATATAGTTACTATTTGCGACAAGATATAATATTTACTGAAACAAATGCAGTAAAGTACTATTTTAATATACTTGCTTTTAATTGAATAATGTATGAGAAAAAAAAATCTTCCAATGTGGATGCTTTCCTACAGCATATTCATTTGCATAGACCTTAACTTACTGTTAAAATATATTAGATTTTTGTAGTAATAAAGCTGTGAAGTATCTTGTTATATAAAGTATTCACCCAGCTTGGTAGCTTATATTTCCATCATGGAGAGATAATTGATGACGCCTCCAAAATGACTGGAAATGCCTTATTATGTAGTTGTTTTCAAAGTTATCATCTTGTTGAAAATGTAAAGTACGGTCAACCCTAGGTAAAAAAAAAAAAGACGTCTGAAAACAGACACTTACAATAATATAATGTTAATATGACTATAATAATTTTAATGCATTTGTTTTTTTTTTTTTTATTCTTTAGTTACATGGGAATTGGACTGTCTGTAAAAGATGCTAGCCTAAGCAAACTTCCAGGTAAGAGCTTGTTTTTTTTTTTTTTGTATGAGTGTGTGCCATCTAGTTCCAAGCTTCCCAAACTATGGGTCGCGACCCAAAAGTGGGTCACTTCATAATAAATTAAAAGGTCAAAATTTCTTATGTCGTAGTTCTTGAGTTTAATCAAAGACCCTAAATTGATGTATATCATACTCATAATACCCTGGCAGTGTTCTCTCAATTGAATCATTTTTACTGGTAAATTTGTCCATAAAAATTCCGCTATGCACGTAGTGTAAGGCATTATCCCGTTTGAGTGAAGTTTAATGACTTGAAAAAACAACATATATATTCATACCCTAGGTATAGATTGGAATGATGTTCATTTATTGAAAGAAGGCCAGCCTAGACTACATAGGCCTAATCAGTGGTTTTATTATTTTACAATCCCAAAATTGTTACTGGTTGGTTGGTTATTTTTACCGGTAAAGTTGACGACTAAAACGGCTTCGGGAGAACACTGCTGTGGTAAGAAGTGCATGTCTAGCATGGCACTACCCCCAATTCCTAACTGTGGTACCACTTCTTATGTACTACTGCAGAGAAAAAATAATGAGATGCCGATGAATGATAAAGTTGAGGTAAAAGGATGAATGTTCTTCTGATATTTTTTCCCCCAAGGAGAAAGTTTGGGAAGCAGGGATCTACTCCACTTAGTGTGTCTAATGAATATGCCATCCCAAAACCAGCGTATTACCACTAAATATTAAACTGAATAATTGGCATAAAAATGTGGCAATTCCATTATTTCCTCGAGGGTATGCTGCAGTTTTACTCATTACACACGGTCTGCAGAAATTGTTAGTATCCAGGCACAGGGTGGAGGTATGCACTTAATGGAGTGACTGCTCTATTTGATCAATGGTTGTTTATATAGCACACATTATTGTGGTCATGGGGGTTTTTAGGGAAATATGTCATTTGAGGAAGAATTTATCATATTTGCCTTTCATTCACAATCTCCAACAATATTTCACATGGTATTTCACTGAACACATAAATACACAAGGCAGCACATTGGCTGAATTGTGTTTATGCTTAATCCTGTTGCCGTTTATGGTTATTTATATTTTTCCTTTTCAAGTCTGTATTAATCTGATGTAATAATTTTAAATCCTGCACAAATGCATGTTTTCATGTAGACATCAATGCAAAGAGTAAAGCTGCTTGTTATAATCAATCTAGGGTTTTTGTTACATGAATTATAAATTGTAGAGTTATTTTGAGTTTTAGATTAATTTAATTTTAGTTTGACTATTGTTATTACTGATAGAAAAGAAGGCTTCGTTATTGTGTAAAGGTAATCCACTTTTTTAAATGATTTTCACAAGAATACATTCACCTTATGAAGCTAGCGAAAGCTTGTGTCTCAATAATTTTCATTAGTCTAAAGAAGATGCTACTGTACTCATTTCACAAGAATACATAGAAGATGCCTAGGGAGTGGATTTCAAAAAGATGACAGTCATCATTTTTATTATTTTATTACTGTGTGTATGTACTTTTGGGAGAAGGAAGTATGGTCAAATAAAATAGTGCTTTGTACTTTCTTGAAAATGTTGACAAAATAGATGATGCCTAATAAACAAATCAAATGCAATGTTAATAAATATAATTATATTATTTACCCCTTTTACACTGCGAGCAAAACTCTGGACACAACCAAGAATTTTGTAATACCTGGGCTAGAAACTCTTGAGTTGTGGTTGGTGTAAATGTCAAAAATTATCACCTAGGTTGCAAAACATCCCAGGATCGATATACGGGATGTTCGATTCCAAAATTAGGCCTTACCTGGCGCCTACCGAACCTGTGGTCAGGTAGGCCTAAAATAAGCCTCATTCTCATCCTCTAAGTGGCGAGTATACTTGCTGTTGGATGTGAGGGGGAAAAAAAATTAAACTTACTGCGCTCTGGTAAAGACTAGATATCAAAACTGTTGATTTAATTCGCATAATTTAAAAACAATCTGCTTTGCTTCAATATTGACAATAATTTTGGCTTCGTCACCATTGCAACAATAATTGAGGGCGTAATTTGAATCCAAGTTCGTTGCTGGTGTAAAATGGGAGCAACTCGGATCAACGCAGACTTTTTTGTTCGATGTAAATGGGAAATGCACCCGGGATTAATCCGGAATTAACACGGGTTTATTCTGCCCTTAGCAGTGTAAAAGGGGTATTAGTAGCAGCAGTAGAACAAAACTCTACAATATCACCAATAGGCTGATTCACAAGATGAAGGCCTAGCCATCCCCACCACAAAATGTTAGGAACATTTTTAAACAGTGGAGAAAATGAATTATATTAAAATTGAAGTCTGCGAAGGCATTTTCTGGCCATCTAGGGGTACTAATCCATTCTGTGCAATCGTCTCCGAACATGGATGGCGGAGGTGGTGTACATCCTCCATCTGTAAAAGTCCCTCCCTGGGCCCCCCTCTATATCAATTTTCTGGATCAACTACAGCAATTTTGACATACACATTAAAAAAGAACTTTTTGTTTAACAAAGTCAGCAGATGTAGGTCTAGCTAACATATATTAGCAAGCCCTATAAGTATTAAAGCGATCAAAGATCACTACTCCGTCACCAAACACACGTTTTTTTTAAGGTTAATGATATTAAAAATACAGTCTGTTTTGAGGTGTACACTTGAACTGTAACATTCAATATTCAAATTGCTTACTTTGTACATTAGCATTTTCTGTAATTTCAATTCAAATTAAAGTGAAAATATATTTTCCTCTCAGATCTCACAAATAATGTAGACAATTTTACTATTTTCGTGTACAGTTTTTCTCTGCATTTCATTAAAATTTGATCCTTTTATACTGTATGAGCAAGCCAATGTTGTTCTTCAATGTTTGAGTGGGGTTTTCCAGATTTTGTCATAGCAATTCATTTATGTTGTTAATCTTATCTATTATTATTCCTAAATACTATATGTGTAGAGCATCATGTGTGTACAATTATTATGTTTGTTTTGTTAAACAGATTGCTACTTAGGGAGTGATTTAGTTTGCTTTTGGTAATCCAAGTGACCCATATTCCTGAATTAAACAAATATCAAAATATATACTTCTGTAAATGAGCATATATAATGGTCATTAGAATGAATATTACAGTACTGCCCAACTCAAGGTTAATCTCAGTTACTATATTATTATTTTTGTATTAAATTTAAGCTCAAACCTTCTATTTTTGTATCAGAAACTGAAACCCTACTGCAGTGTCACATTTCCCTAACCTTCTTTCAAAGTCCTTCAATAACGAACATCTCCAAAGCCTTCTAAAGCATTTCTTTATTCATATATTTTTGCCTATCCTATGTGTTAGTGTTGGTTAATTAAAGAATTGTATACAGTAAGTGTTTGATTTTAAAAAAATAACATTTTATTTTTCCTTATTTATTTAGGTACAGACAAGTACTCATATGGTTACCATGGTGACAGCGGTCGGATCCTCAACTCAAATGCTGGTGCTGGACATTTATATGGTCCTACGTTTACAACGGGTGACGTGATTGGATGCGGCATCAACCTTATTGATAATACCTGCTTTTACACAAAAAATGGAGTAGATCTCGGTAAGTTTTAATCAACTGTTTAGCTTCCTGAGCAATCATTTCATCTGATATGACATGTTCATTATGTTAATTAGCAATGTCTTTATGGTATTGAAGATATGGCTTAATGACCAAGCTAGGTTTATACTTTGGCAGTTCATTGCCCTTGCTTTTTTTTTTTTCATGACAATAAGGATAATATATATAAATAATCTACAAAAACTTCATGCTCAGTAATAATATCATCAAATCAATTGTAGGTTTGGAGATTACCAACTGTATTTAATTTATAAATTATTAAAGATATTAGTATTATTCCATTCGATATCAAAGATTTATAATTGTTTCCATTTACTATGTTCTTGATAGTGGAGTTGAATAGTTGGTGGGTAAGATTCTTGTCTTCCAATCCCAGGGTTCTTTTAACACTCGCTGCTTAAGTAGCAACAATGAACAACCTAATTTATAATCTCATAGTCATCGTTTGCATCAATAAATTTATTATATAATTCTATATTGTCATGTAATTCTATTTGCAATTTAGAAATTTCATCAGTGTGTATATTTTCATCAGTGCATATATTTTCATCAGTGCATATATTTGGTTAATACTTCAATACAGTATTTGAATGAGTATTCAGTTTTACTAATGTATTTGGTTAATACTTCAATACATTATTGAATGAGTATATAGTTTACTATCTTCCTGTCTGATGGCATGGAAAGAAATTTGCATTCATGCCATCCAATGTCTGTATAGGTCACAGAGATTGCAATTTATGATCTATATTTCTGCACATGCTCAGAGCTTTGAAGCAGTAATATAAAATTTCTATAGTAAAAAGCTGACCCTTTACCATATATAATTCATGTTGCACCTCTTTTTGAATTGACATAATTAGAAAAATTGTTTAGTACCTTTGAAAAATTGGGATTTTTATCATTTAATATTAATATTGTATTATTATTGTTATATCCTAGTGTGAAAGATTATTTTATATCAAAATGATATTTGTGATAAAATGTATTTTTCTTTATTTCTTAGGTGTTGCATTCACAAATTTACCTGTAAGTATGACAAATTTCAGTTTTTTTTTAGCACCCTTTGAGTTTTCACCAATGGTTACCACCACTTTAGCAAAGTTAAGTTTCTCTCTTGTTTTTTAAGACAAGGAATGATCTTATTTTTGGTCATTTTTCTCCTTCAAACAATAATTTTTTTTTATCAACAAATAATTTCCCCATCAAATATTACAAATCCCCCATACGTGTGTCAGTATTCTTGTATTTTTTTGTCGGTGCTCTAACTGAATTAATAGCTCATTAAGAAATCCAGAAACTGATTGATGTTCAGATATATTAATCGTCAGCTTCCTAAACAAAATTGTCTAGACATGCCCTAGTTAGAAAAAAAAAATGCCCCAGTTAGAAAAAAAAACACTTAGAGTTCTTGGACCAATTGTTAGACTTGACAGATTTTTTTCTGTCCATGGTTGTCATGTTATGAACAATAGTGTTTTTAAACAATCAGTTTCTGTGGTTAACCTTAATAAATGCAAGTATAAAATTCAAAATGTGCCATTGATTTGAATTGAAATTATACTGTACTGCAGATAACAATTTTAATGCATATTCTTAACCATAACATGTTCCTTTAGTTCCATTATATTCGGTTATCTCTTTGTATGTTTTTGTTTAGCAGCAAGACAGTCAAGGTCTTGTCTTTTTTAGTCTCATTGTTCTCTTGTTCACAGTGGTATTAACAGTGGCTTATATACTGAATTGAAATACATGGATAAATAATTATTTATTGTCAATTTAATGCAGTGTCTAAATTCTGAACCTTTTATCTTGCAGAGTAAATTGTACCCTACAGTAGGGTTACATACACCTGGTGAGATTGTGGTCACAAATTTCGGTCAGAGCCCTTTTATGTTCAATATAGAAGATATGATGGAGGTTGGTACTTGTGAAGAATATTTTTACACTACAAAAAGGCAGATCCAGAAAATCTGGTGGGGTTGGGGAGGGGAGACTTGCAATGTGCAAAGCATTAAAGGGGATTGGGGATGGGGGTTGGTATTTTAGATATATTATTTAGAAATGCCTGACCATAGACACTGCTACTTGGGATTTAAATCAAACATTAGCTTGTTTTGGAGAGTACCATGCTTCCCTCTTTCTCCTCTCATTTCTTTTTGTCTCTTTTTTCTCTTTATTTGGGAGGGCCTAGCCCTGTTTTCCCCCCTTCCCTTCCCCTGGATCCACTCCTGCTGCCATATTTAGGTATGTCTTTTTCAGGAATGCTTACTTGAATTAATCAACAAATACTAATAATAAGTATCTTACTCATGGACTTCAAATATCACAATTTGTGAATTATATTTTTTTGTTTATTCACTAAACAAACCTTGTTGGCCCTAGTTGCTATAAAACATATAGTGATGTGGTATATAAGAAGATTTAACTGACAGTAATATGCAGTAGCTGTTTATATGCTAAGTTCATTAATAAGGAGTTTGGGGTCAGAGGGAAGGTGCTGTAGGAATGACTAGAGACTAGACAGAGTTCCTGTGAGTTATATGCCAGAGAGTCCTCATACTGGAAACTCAGACTGCTGGTAAACATAGTAATGCTGGTTTCTATGATTGTCAACTGCCAGCTTAACTGATACACTTATATAGAAGTGGTTTGGCGGAGCGGTAACAGTTTGGTTTCCCAATCTCAAGGTCGGGGTTTCAATCCCTCCCTGTGCATTTCACTCGTGTTCTTGGGCAGGGGACTTTATCTGCATTGCTTCTCTCCACCTAGGAGAATAATTGAGTACCTGGCAGGGTTAAATGCCAAATGCGCTGATTAGCTGCTGCAACGTTATGGAATACTCCCCGGGAGCTGGGTTTGTATTCCATAGGCATTTAATCCAATGACCGGGGTAATGATAATCTGAAGCGCATAGAGGGCTTAACAGTAAGTGCTATGTAAGTCTACCATTAACCATTATTATTATTATTATTTTTTTTTTTTTTTTTTTATTATGTAGTCTAAGTACTGTTTACATTGCACCATTAATTATAAGTTAAAAATATGTTTATTTAAGGTGCAGATAATTATCATAAACTGTTTATTATATTGTAATTTTTTTATTCATGTCATCTCTATATTTATTATTATCACTATAATCATTATTTATCTCATTTTATACCTCCATGATTTCACTGACAATTACAGTATATTGTCTGAGTTATACAAAGTCAAATTCAAAAATCAAAAATACAATTATCAGGGGTGCCAATTTGGAAGAAGTCATTTCCGGGAGATGTGGTTAATTGAGCTTCGTTGCACATCAGATTTTATTTTTCTGTGTATGGTGATAATCACTAACACTGACTTCCATGAGACAATCGATGATAAAGTAGTATAAAAACATGCAAATACAGTAAGGTACCAAGGGGTGTTCGTAAATTGAAAAATTTGTAAACTAGATCAGGTGTCAGTTTCCAATACCTTGGCCTAGCTATCCCCTGCCATTGAGCGCCGATAGGCTAATGGCGGCCAGGCCTAGCATGAACTGACAATGCAGCAGTGTGGTCTACCGCGCTAGAACCTAGCTGAATTTACCTTCGATAAATGCATAATTATTTTAATCGCTGGCATTCTTCCACTTAACAAAATATTATTTTAACTTTTATTCAAACATCTGTATGTTTTATGGACCTTTCTATCATGTTCTTTCTAATTGTTAGATCACCGAATTGTGTTGTTTACATGCATTTCGCGATCATATCTTGCATTCACGATGTCAAGTTGCTAACCCGAAAACTCTTGTTTGTCATTGTAAACATGTGCACTCAATCCGACGACACGTGTATTGGTAGTTCATTGTTCTTGTTAAGTTTATTACATTAATATAGTGATTATTATACCAGAAATGGAAGAAAAGTTCAAATTATTAATAAAGAAATACAAAAAACTTTATTTTATTAAGAAAAATATAAATTATCACTGTGTAAAACGTGTGCAATCAGGCTTTTTTTACGGTAATAATTGGTCAATGATGATGTCATCGGGGCAAAGACCATTCTTAAAAGCGACTATTCATAAAATGGACGTTTTACTTTATAATGAATCTGTGGGAGATGGGTTATTTTCCAGGTAGATTCTTAAGTGCGGGAGGCCATCCCAATTTTCCTGCGACTTGGCGGGGATAATATTAAATTATCACACTACTCCAAAGAAACAAAAACAAGAAAACAAAAAAGAGGTTTTGATTGTAGATTTTTTTGTTGTATTCTGTAGGAAATGCGGTTGAAAACCAAAGCATCTATAGAACGTTTTTCAGTTGACAACGGAAAAGGTGAATGGCAAAACACACTCAATCAACTAGTCTCTACCTACCTTGTCCATCACGGGTACTGTTCCACAGCAGAAGCATTTGGAAGAAGCACAGGTCAAAAGTTCGATGAAGAAATTGCATCAATAAAGAATCGACAAAGTAAGTGCCTCGTAAAGTGAAATCTGTGTGCTTGGTTTCCAGCGTCAGGAGTCCGGGGTTCAATCCATAAAAACAGAGATCAGAGTACAAGTGACTTTTTAGGTTAAATTTTCCAATGTGAATTATTTTATGGTAAATGGTCTGCAAGTGGAAGCGGTTTGGTGCAGTGGAAATGGTTTGGTTTCCCAACCTCAAGATCGGAGTTTCAGTCCTTCGCTGTGCATTTCGTTTGCGTCTTTAAGCAAGGCACTTTATCTACATTGCCTCAATCTACGCTGCTGTATTGATGGGATGCTTGGCAAGGACTTACTTTACTAAATGATTTGTATAGTGCTTGCATTTGAAGTATTCTTTCATGGTCTATAATTTAGTTTCAAGCTCTACTCTGTTCTGCTTAAAATAAGAAATATATATTATATTTAAATTTAAATGTTTGTATTTATATTTATTTTATTGTTTTGTTTTATTTGTGTTAATTTTCTTGTGTTCATGGATCTTCATTTCTTGCTACAGAAATCCAACGGCTTGTACTAGCTGGTAGAATGGGCGAGGCAATAGATGAAACAAATAGGCTCTATCCAGGACTTTTAGAAGAAAACCCAGACTTAATGTTTATGCTGAAATGTAGACAATTTGTTGAAATGGTAAATGGTTCAGATAGTGAGATACGTAATCTACGCCATCCTCGGTCAAGGCCCACAAGCAGGCAGTCGAGCCCCGCCATGAGTCCACACCGAAACAGTATATCGTCTCCACATAGATCATCTCATTCTTCGTATATGGACCACACATCCTCCTCGCACAGTACTAGTCATATTAGTACCTCTACAAGCACCAACACAACCACCAGTGTTAAGAGTACAAAACTCATCTCGGCAACTACAAAGAAGGAGGTAACAGAGATATCTAAGTCACCTCCACCCTCCTCAGATCTGAATGCAATAAATTCTTCAAATTCACATGTGATAAATGGCTCAGGGTGCAGAATAATTAGCGACGAAGTGGACGTTGATATGGATGTAGATTCTAACGAACATGTTGGCAATGGTAAAAGCTTTAGTAATGGTGTAACATCAGGAGTAAGCAATGGAACATCTTCAACGTCGTCAGTACAGAATGGTAGTCATATAAATGATGGCATGGATGTGGAAGAAATGGGTAAGCCATTCTTTAAATTTTAAAAATAGTAATATAATGGTAATAATACTTACGTTTCAGCATTTTTAAAATGAAAATATTAGGCAAAGTGAAATTAATAACAGTAGCACTGTCATTGTGAACTCATATACTACTACTACTAATAATAATTATTAAAAAATCAGCTTCAGCTTTTCTGGATTTTTTTAAAGAAGTTTTCTATAATTCCATAATACTAATACTGGAGTAATATATCAGTAATAATATTTACTAGTAGTAATAATATAAACATAATAATAAAAATCATTAAATTTTCAGGACACCATGTGTAAAAATATGGTTTTTGAGGTAAAACCACTGGTCGGTTGTCTCGGTGAGATTACCCTGACCGCCATCAGGTCACCGTTGTCATCGTTCTCCTAAAGATGATGGTGATGATAATGACATTCAGAGCAACTCACCAAAATGTTGATGACCAACCAGTGGTTTTTACACATGGTGTACCAAAAGTTTAATGGTTTTGTTATTGATACTCGCCATGCAAAACTTCAAGTAATACTATTGTAATAATCAGACTTGGTAATTTATTTTTGATAGATTTGGAACAGCAGATTCCTAGCAGGAAACGGCAACTGTGCGGCGGTGACGACGAAGCAATAAACCACATGTTGAACTTTGGCAGAGATCTCCAACGCACCAGCGAACAACTAGAGCTAAAACACGGGGTAAACGAGGCAAATAGAAAAACTTTATTTGTAAGTACTATTTTTTATTATTATGTTTAGGTTTTGGTATTATTTTTGGGTGATATCAATGTGTTACATTAGCAGGGGTGCACCAGCTTTTCCATGACAGGCCCGCCTACTGATACCACCCCTGAACATCAGGGATTTTTAATTGATTTTTATAGTGGCAGATGAACTTACTGGATTATCCAACATTCTTCTTGAATTCCACTTAATGCAAAGATTGTTTTTCAAAGCAGTTTTCCTCATTTTTTGCCATTTTAGGATGCATTTAGTCTGCTTGCGTATGCTGATCCATGGAATAGTCCCGTAGGCTTCCAACTTGATCCACTCAGGCGTGAACCGGTATCTGCTGCCCTCAATAGTGCTATATTAGGTGAGTTTATCTTTTTGTTTTGCCATGTTATTTTTTCTGTTATATTTTCCTGGATACAGATGCCCTTAATGCTTTTTATCCTAATGTTTATGTTTTGTAATACTCTGTTTATATATTTTAGTTACATTGTTGAATGATCATTATCATCATTCATTATGATTTATTATATTTTTATTACTATTATGGTTATTTAATTGTTATAAGTTAATTTTTAATATTATTGTTTTGATGTGTATTTGCATCAGGAAATAACATAGGAGTGATGTATTGCCCCACCTGACGTGTTACTGAATACTCAGTATGTTCACAAATAATTCAATACTAGTCACTAAACGCAAGCTCAGTGGCCTAGTGGTAATGACACCTGGCTATTATCTGGAGGTTGTGGGTTCGATTTCAACCCGAATCACTTGCGATTTTTATTATTTTGCAAGTATTTGGGAACATACCAAGTATTCAGTATCATAACACTTCAGATAGGGCTAAACATCACTCCTATGTAAATATTATTATTGCTCAATTTTGGTTAAAATTTGTTTTTTAACGTCGTTATCATAACATCAATCATTGTTTTTTAAATATGAAATTTAATTTTTTAGTAATCTTTTACATATTTTCTTTTCCTGCAGAGTCTCACAACATGCCAAGACAGCCACCGTTGGAATTAGCAATAGGCCAAGCCGTGCAAACTGTTAAACTCATGTCCAAAGTAGGACTTGGCTCTTGTGCCTTTACAAGTGTGGAAGATTATGTATGCTAGTCAGCTACTAGAAGCCATTCATGCAATCAACGGGAGGGGTAGGGAGGGTAATTCACATGGCTGACACTTTCATTGATAAGCCTAGGAATTGGAGATCACATTTTGAAGGCCAATAGAATAGATTGTTAGCCTGGAACATCTATTTCAAGGCCTAAAACAGTGATTATTCTGCCTGGGCATAATAATCATCTATGCTCTAGGCCCGAAAATTGATATTTGAAAGCCTAGCACATTTATTTTAATGGCCGTTCGATCCACTTCAAGGCCTAAAGCATGGATTATTAGGCCTAGAAGATCCGTTTTCAAGGGCTATCAGGTGGATTTGTAGGGCTTTGATATCAGGGTATCCTCAATGTAATTATCAGTGTTTTAATATAGTAGGTTGATGATATTAGATGCTATATATGATTATTTGATGGCAAGTGAATGAGTATTAAAGGGTTAACTTAACACAGGATGTTGTGCTTCCCACTAAATTCAATCAATAACACCCAAAATCATGCTACTCATAAAAGACAAAAAAAAATGCTGCTTGGAAATATTTTCTGTGTGGGTTTTTTTTTTTTTTTTTTCAATGATGTTACCAATCTTTCATTATGTTTATTCTTAAGGCATTGATGATGTTCAGTGTAAATTTCTGGAAAGAGGTTTGCTATCTTTGAACTAAAATATGACAGAATTGTTTACTGGTGCATCACTGACGTTATCATTAGATAATTAATTAATAATTAATTGAATTTGGTTATGATATGATTGTGGTTGTAATTGACCTCAGTTGGTCATGTACTTGAAGGTGACCTTTGACCAATGAACTTTGCATGTTTAATTCTTTGTCCTTGCTATCAGGTTTTATGTGTCATGCATATTTGTCAACAAAACCGATAATATGTTGCTTTCAATTTGCACAGTGATGTGAAGCTAGAACATCAGCATATCTATGGGGTGCGCAGATGGCGCATACCCCAAAAAGAATACTCTCACCCCCCCAAAAAACATCACAGTCAAGTAGTTAAAATTCCCCTTATTTTGCAAAATAGTGCCTCCTTATCTAATCGTTGAGGCCCCTTCACCCTCGCGCCCCACCATCATCCGCCATTTCAAGACTCCTAGATACGCTACTGGGCTAGAATGGATTCACTCATACGTTACCATCCAAATTTGGCTAAATTGCATCCTAGAATCCTTCTGACCACAAAAACAAGAAATGACTATGTGACATCATTACATTCTTATGTCCCACCATCATCGTGCAGTTGAATGCTTCCAAATGTAGACACAGCTTAATGTTTAGCTAAAAATGATTGTTCCAGTCATTCACCAACAGTGTTTAGCCAACATTATTAGCTAATAATGATTGGGTAACAGCCATTGGCAGTGTTTAGCTAACATTATTAGCTAATAATGATTGGTTAACAGTCATGTTTAACAGTGATAAGTTAACATTGATTGGATAACAGTGTTTGACAGTCATTAGTTAACACTGATTGCAATAGACATTTAAGTGTGATTCTAGGCTGTGTTTCTGTAGCATCTGAATGAATGGTTTTTACAGGTCTCCCCCCAATTAAGACCACTTTTGGGACCAGACTTTTCCTAGTCTTTAGCAGTTTTGGTCTCTAACTAGAAAAGGTATCTATCAAATAGATAAAGGATAGTTGTTTATTTGGGGCCAGTGGCGGCTCTAGGATATATTTTCTGCGGGGGCTAAGTTGTCCGACAGGAGGACTTGAGCTCGTAGGCTCGAGCTGGGAGAAGGGGTTGGGAGGGGGTTCCCCCTCCCAAATGAGATTTTTTTTAAGAATATCAACCTCTAGATGGCCGAAAATGGCACTCTCAGACTGCGACAGACATGTGTTGGCTTGTTGTGGGCCTATTTTTATATGTTTTATGGTCTGACTGCCCGACAAGCTCTGTCCGGCGGGGTGGGGGCTTTGACCTGTCCAGTGGGGGGCTTAAGCCACCCCGCTGGCGCCGCCACTGTTTGGGGCTGCTGTAATGTGGTCATTAATTTGAGGTTTCTCTAATTGGAGTGGTTTTTAATTAGAGGAAGACTTGTATAAGTCTGTTTAAAAAAATGCACTTACACATCGTTTTTGTGGAGATTAGTCGTGTCAATTCAAAACCAAATTCTTATATACAGTATACAGTGTACACACTTAATGAGTATCCATTAATTATCCAAGGATGTCTTTGGAAATGTTAATCCAGTGGCTAAACGAACATGGCCCTAGAATCAGAATGCAGTTGGTTCAGGTTGATGTTCTTATCCTTAACATTTTGCATGCGGCTTCATAGGCTTGTAATGGTGCAGCTATAAATGAATGGTGTTGGTGTTTAGGACAAGGCTTGATTTGTTCCACCAAAGCCACTGTCTAAAAACTCAAGCAACTTTCACTGAATATGCAGACACTAGCACAGTATAATGATAATCTGAAAACCTTGGTATTGATAGAAAAACAGATTTGTATCACCAGTATTGTATTGTTCGTATTAATCAAGTGGAAAAAATACATTGAGGATTTGACATGTACTGAAATTTTTTCCTAATATTTATAATGTAACCTAAAAGAAACCATCTTGAAATATCTTTAAGTAGGAAAAGCTTGTTACATGCATAGGTCTTTCAGTGAAGTCCTCTTAATAGCATGAGCTGCACATTATGGATAATTGGGATGTTTTGCAATCTTAAGAAAATGTAATGTTGCTGGTAGCCACTGTGTGTGCACTGAACCGTGGAGACCCTTTCTTTGTGTTTCAGTTGGAGGGGTGAAATTCAAGTAACAATCTTTTAAGCCGTTGGTCCTGTGTGCAGTATGGTCTATGTGCATGTTAAAGAACGCAGTACACTCTTTGGAAAAGAGTAGGGGATTGTCCCCTGATGTACTGTCCATTTCCCCACCAGCATTAAAGTTCCAACTAATGGCAAACATTCAGTTGGTGTATTTGATTATCAACTGTGTGACATATCTGTTATCATTTTCATAAGATTGCAAACGCCCTATTATGATTTTGCTGTAGTCAGTTAAGGCTAGTTTCCATAAAGTCGCTACACTGTCGCTACAGTGTTTTCAATGCAATTGTTGTACTGCGTAGCATTCCCTGATGCAATTGGGAAGGGTCCTGGAACCGACCAATCAGCATCTCAAAAGCTGTCGGTGGTTGCTTGTAGCGACTGTATGGAAACCAAGGTTAATATTCAAGTTAACTGAATTAACCGTTTGATTTTGAAAATTCATTTACATCAATGCCTTTGAGATAAAAATGAGCCATGAATTTGCTTAATATTTACTTGGTGGGACTACGGTTGTTTTTGTTGCCACTGATACCATTTCACCAAATGAGGATTGGATTGGTTTGTGATGGCAGAATGATTGGTTCATCTGTGTCATTTTGTTGCAATATTCAAATTTGCTTCAAAACAATTGTTGATCAAGTCACCACTGCACATGCTCAGTTGCTTTCTATTGTGACCATTATTATTATTAAATAAAAATAATATTTTATTTAACCATTCCTTGAGTTGGTAATCGCTGAATACCAAAGCTTGTGTGATATTTGTCTAACTTATATTATTCAGTGCACCCTCCAATTCGATTCCCCTCTAATTCTGAGACCCCTATGATTCAAGACCAATTTTCAAATATTAAAATAACAATCTTCAAAAAAATAAAATTTAATTAAGTTTTACCTCTCTAATGAACTGTGATTTCAATAGTCCGATTGTGATTACAACTCTATCCAAGATAGAGTTGAGAATTAATGACTAAGGTCTTTGATCATGTTCCTATTATCTTACTTTAATTCTATATTTAAGTATAAAACCTTAATTTGATGATGCTGTGTTTAAATTGTTTATATAAAGGAATTTAGAATTTATTATGTGCTTGATTGATCACATGTTATTACATTGGTTATGGAGAAACACTTCTATCAGTGATATATAGATTGATTGATTGATCAATTGGTTAATTGATACTTTTTTTTGTGCACCTGTAGCTACTTAAATTCTTGTATTCTTATACCTATCTGCTGCATATTATACCTGCCTTCCATGATTTTTTCCTGCACTTATCTTTATATATTCTACTAAACAAAACCAGTTATCTGTAGGCTGCTTGTTCATCATGGTTTCAATTTCGTTGATTTTTCCAAGATTTTTCTTGCAACCATTAACAATTTCACTCCATAATTCTGCTAATTCGTACATGAGGGTTGAGATTGAGCATGTTAACCTAAGTTAACACAAGTACACTGATGAGTTACCCAAGTCACTATGATTGTGGTCTGTTTTTGCACATAAGTCATACCATACTCTCAGTCCCCTCCCCCAGGCATAACTTATAAAGGTGTAAGATTTGGCTTCATTCACATATAAGCCATCTCAGGGTGTTTACATGTATATATTGTATATGAACTGAAAGTTTTTTTTTTGTAAAAGAATATGGTATAGTGGCTATATAATAGATGATTGTGAGTTGAACGTGGCTTTTAAGGCTTTAATGCATGGAATGAAAGATTTAGATAAAATTTTGATCAACATCAATCAACCAAACATGTAATGCTTTTAATCGTTGATACTTTCAGGGTATCCAAAGCTTTGATGGCAAAAACAATGAATTTTAGTTTAAGTGTTCAGAACAAATAATATACATTAGATTTTATTTGAATGAGATGATTTTTGCTTATGACTGATCATGAGTGTTTATTGTTGAATTCTTTTAATAGTGTTTTTTGATAAAGTTCAGGAAGGCTGCATTTCTGCTATGACCATAACGCCAGACATTCAGATATAACTTGGTAACTATCCACAGGTATGATGGAAAGATCTAAAATCCAGTTGCACGTATGAATTTGTGTCAGCTAACCATAACTGGTAGGGGATCAGTGGAAATTTTTGACCTTTTAGACATGAATCCCCATACTTTGGTGCCACTTGAGGTCATCTCGCTAAAAATAGATAATTTTCCAAATCAAACAAGTTATAATCAAGTTATTTTGATCATACTCTAGTTCCTAATACTGTGGTTTAAAAGCATACTTTTTACCATTCTAAACTCTTACAGTTTTCCCATTGACCACACCAGGTTTTTACCAAGGGGTGGATCCAGAATTTTTCAAATGGGGGTGGGGGGGCACAGCAGTTTCAGAATAGATAAGTGAGAGCACATGACATTGATATGCATTGAAATTTTTTGAATTCAGTGCCAAAACGTGTTACCTTACTCGATCCGTGCCTGTTTTATCCAAGATACATGGCAAGCCCTAGAGAGTTTTTTGTTCAGACCCCCTGTTGGCAATTTTTCAATCCATCACTGTTTCTGGCTAGACTGAATATCTGCCTTCAGCCACTATAATGTTAGCCTGCTCAGGAAATTCAGCTTCTGTATGGGTGTTTTAAGTGTGCACATCTTACGGGGTTTTTTTTGGATTTGGTACATAAAATGAGAAATGCTTGATATATGCAGGCCAGTGTTTGCGGGTAACTACTTGTGCAGTAAAGTAAAATTCTTGTAGTATGTGTGACTAAACTTCTCATAAAATTTACTATGTCAAATTCTCATACTTAATGAATTTCGATAAAAATTATTATTTTTTTCTTATTTTGATCTCCCTTTTTATTGAAACAAAATGGGCAAAACTAAGGGATACTAATGCAAAAAAATATGTTACATACCAGTACACACCCCTCTATTAAGCCTGGTTTCCATAAAATCGCTACACCCTATCGCCAACTCCTTTCGCAACGCTGATTGGTCAGTTGAATTGGGGAGCGTTCCTGATTGTATCGGGGACAGCTATGCAGTGCAACGATTGCAGTAAAAAAAACTGTTGAGACAGTGGATAGTGATTGTATGTAGACCAGGTTTTAACAAATGCAAAATGAACTACCGTATATTTCTCAAACCATCCACAAACCTACAAGTACCGACAATGAATTTTTGTTATTCTCTATTTTCTTTTTCAAGAGATTTGATCTGAATGAAGAGGTATTTGTGTACAAATATAACTAAAATCTAGTAAAAATTTCAATGTGGGTAGGGTAGCTATATTTTTCAATTGTTGATTTTTAGGACAAACTTATTAATTAATCAATAAATATTCTGGAGAGAAAAAACAATTTATGTGGTTTTTCGGTAACAAATTCTTCAAAGTAGGAGAATAGTATACCAAAATATTAATTAGCAGTTTGAAACTCGCATTTATCAATGATCTAAGAATGAATGTCGAAGAATGAATGTTGAAAGAGTTTAGGGGAGGGGGTATTCCCCATAATTCATACTCAAATATGCTAACTATGTGTTCCTGTATTCATTGGAAACAATCAGTTTTGTGTATTATTGTAGAGTTTTAGTTACCATACTATACTGTTTGTTGGCACAATTAATAATAGTTATATTATATATTAATGTACTTTTGATGTCTATTTACTAATTAGTTACTGTCTTTCCCAACAGTATCTGTTTACACTGTTCTCTTTATGCAAATTTTATTTAATTATTTCAATCTCTATACTAAACAAAGTTCAAAAATACGATATATTGTTGATAAAGATGTCTAAACAAAGAAACTTGCAATACTAAGTGATGATCATTATTAATGTTGATGTAGGTTAGATGAGAAAGGGAATAGTTTTTAAATTATGTGGCTATCAATTTCTCAAATCAATTAAAAATATTTTGTATTCTGTAAACCATTTGATGTCGGAGTTGGTGTTATCAATAATTGTAACTTAATTCATGGGAAGCAATTTACAAATATTGTACCCTGAGCCATGGATTTGCTTGTAGAAATTACTGGCAAGGTGGTTTTATTCTTTGTAATCATGACAACTGAAGTAAAACAACCCAAATTTACAGTTTGTTTTCATTGAATTTATATTTTTTTCAATATTTTGTATGATGCATGTATTTTAATTTTAATATATGTTGTTTGGTATATTGTCCATTTCACACAAATTTAATTGATCAAGCAAAACACAGTGCCTGATTGTAGAATCCCTTTAATCTTGTTTCATGTCTGTATTAATTGATGAGATGACTTGTACACTTTGCCATCTAGTAATTTATCAATTTTTCCTGTAGCAGGAATAACCATTTTTCAATGAATCTTGTTTGTTTAAAGTAGTTAATGGAGATTTTCATACCTGATCTGTTGTCGTGCCTGAATGCTACAGCAGTCTAACTATTTATTCAGTGAACGCACTAAAGCTAATTTGGATATTTCTTGTACTGTATGCAAACCAGAGTTACAGTGGATGAAAATTAAACCAAAATGTAACTGTTTCAAAACATGGTGTGTTGTGTTTATTTGTTGCTTCCTGGAAGTTCTTTAATGTTAGTCGTCAATGGGAAGGCAGATAAGTGGGCCAGGGGATGTCCATAGGAAGCTAATTTTGAGGGTGGTGGCATGCGACCCCCCCCCCTTTCCCAGGTATGGATGGAACTGCAGCACAACTGAGAGGGCGCCAGTACAGTGCAACATACTGCATGCATGGCCTACTACCTGTCTCTTATACACATCTAGATGTGTATAAGAGACAGGTATATACCCAACTTTGGCGCAGCAGTTGCTGTTCAATCTCTCACTGTGTATTTTGCTTGTATCCTTCAGCAAGACACTTTACCTACAGCAAAGAACTTAAATAGAAAAATGAGCTGTTCCGCGTATCTGCATTAAAATTGATGGAACATCCACCCTCCTGCGAATGGGGTAAAATTTGAATAATTTACTAAGTGGAGAAACTACAGGAAACAAACAAATTAGAGCGGCCCCTTTATTATTACTGTACTATATAGCGCCACTGCGATGGGGTGAAATTGCTCTTTGTGTACCAACAATGCCTTTCGAACGGATGTTCCACTATATTGGGAAGCTGCTCTATCTTCTGCTATTTATTATCTTTGCCTACAATTGTCTCTCCACCCTGAAGTACAATGGGTACCTGGTAACTGATTATAGCAGCTACATTATGGAATTTTCCCCAGGGACCCGTGTATATGTTCCATATGTGCTTGGATCCAGTAACTGGAGGTGATAATGTTGCGCTCTATTAAGTCGACCATTATTATTATTACTATTTGAACATCAGAGAATACACAGCTTATTTCCAAAAGGCATAAATGAAGTACTGTAGACCCATCCACTACGAATACCCAGCACCTCGAGAACAGATACTGAGCAGGTCATGAATGATCCATTGTAAAATTTACCAGACTTGCTTTTCAAATCATTTCAATGGTACAGTAATTAATACAAGACCAGTATAACATCTACATTCTTTTTATTCATTTCTGTACAGGACTATAAAAACAACCGGTAAAACTATGAAAAACTACATTACATTTATAAAATCTGCTGCTTCAGTTGCAATATATGTTTCATCTCTTATTTGCTGGTTTTTACAAGCACAGAATTGTATTGCAGGAGTCTAAAGCAGAGCATAAAATTTTGTATCAATTGTCTGATAATTCCTTGATTATGCAAGCATCATACATTAGTTGAGAGTAATGAATAAAATTGTATTTACAACTATGCTGGACATCATCTTGGAATAATTTTTCAAGAATTGACTCGTGGGCATGATGTATATGGTACCGTATATTATATATTCATAATCTTTTTTCATCTTGTTGATCCTTTAGGTTTCTTTTCATATTTTTCTCGTACTACCCTTTTAAATTTAGTTTGGTCTTCCCACATTTCTGCTGCTTGTACGTTCAATGGACTTTCATTGTTTGGTTCTGCAAAAAATAAAAACAAAATATTTATGTAAAATAATGTACAAAACACACATCAATAACAAGAAACAAAATCTTTTCCTAATATGAATTGGCAATAGTTATTATCATTAGTTGTCTGCCACTTGGGCAGTCTCATGATTGCAATACCACATCTTCATCTATATTCAATAGGGGTGTCTGAAAGGGAGGGGGATTTAATGATATAGGGCAAGGCTGTAGCTAGCAAATAAATAAGGTGTATGAGTTGTCTACACGAGTACTTGTTAATTTCCAGTTAGGAAGCTAATTTTGAGGGTGGTGGCATGCGACCCCCCTTTCCCAGGTATGGACGGAACTGCAGCACAACTGAGAGGGCGCCAGTACAGTGCAACATACTGCATGCATGGCCTACTACAGTAATTAAACAGCTACTGATAAAGTAACATTACACTCCATTCAATGCCACATCTTATTCACAACTGCAACGTACCTCCAAGTAAGCTCTGTAATGAAATTAGGATTGTACTGACAGTATAAAGCGGTGACCATTTTTCTTTTAAGATATCCAAGCAGATATTTCCATGCTGATCAACATTTGGATGGAATATTGGGGTGACAAACTTTACAGTTGGTGGGATATAAGGATAGCCACTTGGAAACGCTAGACTTAGCTTAAAAGTCAAATCTTCGTAAGCCTGAAATTAAAGAAATTGGGCTAGGTTTATAGGAATTAATAATAATAAATAATAATAATAATAACAATATTTAAACGCAAACATCACCACCATAATTGGTGCTCAAGGCGCAGTGTAAATTATTAGAAGATTGTAAATTAAGCATGCTGCAATAATAAGTAGTGTACTAAATAAATTAACACTAAACTACATTGATAAATTGATGGCAATGCTGATAGAGTGGAAAACAATACAACAACAAAAATACGGTATTTGTGTTTACTTACAGTATTTTTGGAGCCATTAATTGTTGCTATCCAGTTGAACATATCGTCACCATTTGGAAATGCTGATACGTCTTTACTGCCACTTTTCTAGAAAACATTACAAAACAAAAAAATTCAAAATATATAATTTTCTGGCAATTTGTTTTAAGACAGAAAAAGCTTGTTTGTCCAATAAAAGTGTATAGCCTAAGCATAATTAAATAATATCAATAATCAATGCTAACTTACCATGAGAGTCACAAGATCATGTTGTAACCTACAAAAAAAAAACATAATTGAAATACAGTATGGTATAACTTGCATTACTGTAAGCAAACTGTAAATCTTAATGTTTTTACCTATCTATTGTATTTTGTAATTTTACTCATCTTCGTAATGCATTGTTTATAGGTATGTAAATTTGATATTTGGGTTGTGTATGTTTTTTGATATTTCTCATTCTAGGCCTATGTATTTTTATATTCTGTATACAATAATTTCAGACTTGTTCTGCTTTTTGTAATGTTTTTTATACCTGTCAAATAAAAACAAAAATTGGAAATGAACAGTTATGTTAGGCCTAGGCCTATAGTGTAGGGGCCTATATAGGCTACACAATGCAGTGCTACACAGACTGAGACACTACCTTTTTAATAAGAACTCCCTGCTGAACAGTCAGTAGGCCCAAAAAATGTTTTCACTCCCACGATTTCCTATTAGGCCTAGGCCTAGCCTAGGCAGGCTAGAGTAGGCTAGGCCTCAGCCTCGGTATCAAACTTACATCACACCTTCTGCTCTGCTAGGCATCTGCTAGCCTAGGTAGGCCCAGGGAGTTGTTATAGTGGTAGGCCTAGGCCTGTACTGTAGAGTAGGCCTACGTAGAACACCAACCTACCGTTTTGTTACTGAATGATTATCTTTTTTTCCTGTTACTGATTCTGTAGTTTCTTTCCGTCTTGGAACAACTGTTGTCGGATCTATGTTTTGTGAAGCCATTTTGTAAAATACACCAAATATAACTGTAAAATTCAGACAGAATGGAAGACTGACTCAATACAACAACGCTAAACTTGACTTTAAATTTCAGACGCAATTGGTTTTTTAAAAATGGTGACTTAAAATTTGTCCAATCAGAAATAGTTTTACCTCAATGACCAATCAGCGACCTCGTTTAATTTGTTCAAAAACTTGAAAGAAGCCGGCCCTCTACTGTCGAAATTTATTCAAAATGGCTGCCTCCATGAGAATTTACTGTAGGCCTAAATCTTTAAATAATAGTGTTATATACAGATCTCAACGATTTTACTTTAACAAAATTAGACAATTGACTTCATATGAAAGTAATTTAATCTCAAAAGGTTAGTAACTTTGACTTATAAATGCATAGCTTTGTAAACTGAATACCAAGGCCCAAGGGCCTTCTGTAAGTTCTGTAGCTGGGTTCCTGTAGCTTTGTTTGGGCTACGGCCCTAACCCAGCTAGGCTACACAGTCTACAGACCGACTAGACTAACCTAGCCTTCCTTTGCTCTGCCTAGGCTGCTAAACAGAAGCCTTGGCTCGACCAGATGCCAAGGATCTGTTGTATGTACTACCTGTAAATTGTGGGTGAGTGAAACCAACTTTGTAGCTGTGAGAATTCCCTAGGTTTACTTGGAACCACTCATCATTTTTTAGGTTTTAAATAAAATAAAAGAACTTTACCAGTTGCAGGTTAAAAAAGCTTGGCCATGGATATTTTATTCTGGCAACCTTGTTGATTGATGGAGCTGCTGTCTTAATGCACTATGGCATGAATCCATACATAACGTTAAAGCTTTTCACAATATGAGTGCTGATGACTTTTGAGAGGAGATGCTTCAAAAAGAATGAATGAATATTCTGAACCAATTTACCTCAATCTCAAAACTTTTAATATTTCTTATATTATTATTATCATATGAGTGTTCAGTTATCGTTAAACGATAAAGCATGAGTGGTGTTTTTTTTTTCTTTTTTTTTTTTAAGTTTTCGCACGATGCTTTTGCTATGGCAGCCGTGATGTAAACATCTTGCCTTTGGGATCTGCTGATAGGCTAATATTTGATACGCATGCGGTTGTGTCAAGACTAGAGGAAAGTGGTAAGAAATACTTTCATTTTGTTTATTTATTTATTTGATTTAACATTTAAAGTAAAAAAGATAATAAAATATATTATGTGAAACATTGAAATGCTTATAATAGATAATATATACTCTCTATTTTGAGATAAATTCATTTTTAAATTAAAATTTCCCTGTTTTTTGTTTTATAATTTATTAGCATTCATTTTTAAAAATTTAAAAGAATATTAAATGTATTTTTTTTTATTAATAACAAAATATTAGATGTAAAAAAACTTTACATTTTTTTAATAGTAGATCCAGAGATCTGAGTGCTTGGAGTTTAGATGTGTAACATGGAAACCTGTTTTTAAAAAAAAATCTACATCAAAATTAAACTAACAATACACAATCATAGTGATAAGATAGGGAAAGTTTTACCTTTCAAATTATCCAAATAAAGTACTGTACATTGATACCAACAATTCATAAAGATATTGATTTTGATTAATTTAATAGTTATCTCAATAGAATCTTGCCAATATTTTTTTTTTACAGAGAGACCTTACATGTGATCTGTTACATAGAAATCAACAATGTTGCACATTGTTGATTTCTATTTAACAAATCACATGTGTTTTGTTGCATGGAAATCAACTATGTTACACATACAACTCTAGTTACTTGTTTTCAGGGATAAATCGTGTACAAGCTGAATGCATCACATCAATATTAAATCAGTTAATGCAGAGGATTGCAGAGCTTCAAAACAAAGATATGGTCACTAAAGAACAACAGGTCTGTAGTCTGAGTTCATTATAGACAAAACTGGAGGAATTAATGCTTAGAAATGGCGTTGCAGCTAGGCTTTAAGAGTGAAAATATCTTAGTTGAAACAGATGCTTATTTGAGAGAGGTGCTTATTGTAACCATGGAGGTACCACCATGATGTAACATTTTGGTAAATAAAGTTAATGCATCATTTTTTATGAATAAATATACAGTGTTTGATTTAAAAATACTTTTCTTTTCCACAGGAAATAATGCTACAGCAAATAATGGCACAGATTGCGGCTGTTAAAAAGGATATGGTCATCTTGGAAAAAAGCCAATTTTCGGCTCTTAAAGGAGATAATGAGGCAAGTAAAAGGGAGATACAGTAGAACCTCGTTTTTACGTACCCCAGTTATACGAACCCTCTGTTTTACGTACGCCTCGTATGGATGATGACGTCATCAAAAACCCCGAAAATATTCAAAACAAACGGCCCTTTTGAGAGCAACCATAAGAAAAAAGAATATAACAATAAACTATAACAATAAACAAACCATAATGCAACGTATTTTCATTAAACAGCAACGTTGATTGAGTCTAATACCGGGTTGTTATAATCTAAAACCACGTGAACTGAGTGAGTAGATTTGCCACAAGTCTCTTATTTTTTATTATTTTTCTCATTCTGGACAGCGCCACCAACGAGAAAGTTAATTTATAGACGGAATAAGCGACTTGTAAAACACTGAAATCAGGCACCAGGATGCCAAAAGAATGACGTAATCTTATATTCCGTATTTGGATAAATGGGCGGACCGAAATAAACAATTTCAACTAATAAAATGTTCATATTTTTGGAGCCACGAAACTGAGTCACTCGCGTCGACTAGTTAGGCCATAGGTCCATGGTTAGGCATGACTAAATTTAAATAGTCTTCCCTAAAAAAACGGGCCTAAAATATTTAGAATAGACCCTAGTAAGACTAATGTTGGCAATGGCAAAAACAATTAAGCTTAGACTAGATGGCATACCACCATACAAATACAACAAAACTTTAACTTTCCAGTAGGATGGCTCAGGCCTCGCCTGGAGTCAGGTGGTAGGCCTAGCCTAGACTAGTAGAGGCTTGGCCTATTTTTTAAGTTCTTACTTACAGAGGCCTACCTTTTTAACAATATTCTACCCTAAAGGCCTAAATCTGTGTAGCAGCTAGTGGTGAGCAAGGTTCCAAGTAG